CTTCTGACGCATGCAAGTTATAAAGTGTTATTTTCCTTTTTTAAACTCTCGCCCGTAAAGTCTTGTCTGTTTTCCTATTCTTAATTGCGTCAAGTCAGATTTTTCAGAAACTACCAGAATTTCAGGACGAAATAAGAAAAAAACAAAAAAACAGTTTGACGCTATTTTTTAAACATATCAAAATCATTCTTGATAAAGTTGATTTAGCAAACTATAGAATCGTTTGTTGTAATTTTGGAATCAGCAATGCTTTAGAGAACATATTTATAAATTAACTGTTTAAATCAAATAGTTGTTCGGAATACTAAAGATTTTTGACCCCAGGAATAATTAACCTTAGCTGTATGTGACAAAATATTTCAGAATTGTAAGTTTTTGATGCTTTTCAAAAAGTAAAATAACAAAAATACAGAACTCCAAGGAAAATTCAAAACGGAAAGTCCTTTATCAAATTCAACTCCATACTTTATTTTGCCTTTTAATTTTTATTATTCGAGCGTCACTAATAAATCTCTTAAAGACGAAACGCGTGTCTTGCGTACAAAATTATAAGCCTGGGGTATCTTTCATTAGTTTCTTTAAGACGTTGACACATTAAAAGAAATTTAAATACGACAAAAAATAAAAAAGTCATGAATAAAAGTAATTAGAAAAATCAATGTGAACATCATTTTTACCAGTAATGACACTAGGGGCATCATTTAGCCATAAATAGTTATATGATAGACTTTCAATTCATGATATAAGGTATTACGATATGTACTTTGATAAACGATTACATCTTTGTTGCATATTGTTATGGTTTCCACGTGTTTGCTATTAACCAATGAAATTCCTAGAAGTGTATAGGAGGTAAGATCAGAAGCCTTTAGAAAATTCTAAAAGGTAAAGGTAAAGAAACGGCATTAATAATTCAACTAGAATATGGGTATTTTCAATACAGTAGCCTATTTGGTAAAACAAACTATTAGACGAAACACCTCTAAAAGCATGAAAACAATACCATATTTTACACCGGTATCGGTCCATTGCTTTAAAATGAAAATAATCTATATAAACTTGATCCGTCCGAAGCGCTTTTCCAAAATAGTTTGCCATCGACTTATTCTATAAATCACCTGCGCAACCGTTCAGATTGATAAGTAAATTACATATAATAGTAAATGTCGAATTCAAATCGATTTCGTTCTTTTCGTTTATTTGATGATAAAGCATTTGAAATCTATACTAGAACCAATTATAAACAAATAATTGCTTCATAAACAAAACATTGAACAAAAGAAGAATTACAGCATCAATTTATCGAAAGCAAGATTGACGGTATCATAGACCAATTTAGAACTATAAACCTGAAAACATAAAGGTGTTGAAAAATACTATGGTTATTTGTTTGCAGTGTATCAGTATATATGTAGAATACGTACACTAAATTTACATGCTGACAATTCAGTCTTGTTCTGAGTTAGAAATTAGTATGAAAAGAAGATACCAAGGAGCAATAAAAAAATATAAAGTCCAAATGTGAGGGGAGAGGGAAAAACAACGATAAGACAAACAACATAACAAATCGCCAGACAGAAAACTAAAGATTGAGCAATATTTGCTTCTCAAAAACTTAGGGCTGCGCTTAGGTGCTCTGGAGGGGTCAGCAGTTCCTGCTCAACTAGTGGCACTACTGTCAATGACTATCGAATGGTTGTTGTGATGATAACATATGCATCTTTCGGTAAAGGGAAGTTTGCTTTATACATATTTTTTTTTTAATTTGTACACCAAATTGCCAACTTTTAAATTACAGAAAAAGAAATTAGCAAAATATTGTCAAAAGTCGTATAAAAAAAAGAAAATGAAAATGAATATAAATATCAAATCATTGATTCCGTATGATATTTAGCATTTTGAGGATATTCTTTTTTTTTACGATTATACTGTCCGTCTAGTTGACAATGGTTAAGTAGTGGCAGGATTTAAATTATATGTTAATCATATTATAACAATGTATATATTATATTTCATTGTTTTATTTGCACTTATTTGGTGTAATTCGACAATTACTTTTATATGCAATTTATTTATCAATCTGAACGGTTGCGCAGGTGATTTTCAGAATAAGTCGATGGCAAACTATTTTGGAAAAGCGCTTCGGACGGATCAAATTTATATAGTAAAGTTGCTAAAATTAACTAGAATTGGAACAATGTTTTGACGAGTCTCATGTTTGCCAAATGCACATGTCACATGTATATTCCTAAAATCAAAATCATATTAATGCAGGGTGTTTCGATTCTGTGTGAGACATTGTATTGTGTGTATCTGATCAACATTACGCAATATCATATTCGGTAGAAGTTAGGTTTTTTTCTGGAAATTTCCTTCATGTTTTATTTGTTTGAAAAAAGAACTCAAAATTTACTAAAATCTTTACAACATGCAGTTTTGAGAAATCTTTCAGGAATCTGGTTTAAAATGTTAAATTGTTATTTAAAACCCTAATGAAACACCCCTCCTCTCCCATTATCATAAAAAAAATGTTATTCAAAAACATAAAATAGACCCCCTTCCCCTCCCCTTCCATTGTCAAAACAAAGAATAGTAAAATCGTTAAAGGTTATACACGAACTTGGAAGCATAATAATTCACCTTTGAAAGAAATTCAATACAAGCTTGCATCACCTTTTTCAAACTTCATGAAAAATAAGTAATATTATATAATTTCTAAGACTTGATATAGACAAGGCTTGGCTAATTCTTTGCACTATACACTAATTGTACATAAAGGAAAATGTTTAATATACGTTAATGACGTAAAAATGTCATTAATTGATAAATGATGATACTATATTGCCCCCAATCCTCATAAGAAAAAACTGATTTTCTCTGCGGTAATTACTTTTTCGGTCTAGATTTAATTATAGAAGTACAAACTTAGTTAGAAGAACAGACATAATTGATGGAATATCGAAACATCGTGGTACATGTTGAGCTGATATATGAATAAGAATATAAATCAAACATGAAGATAAAGAGATACAGAAACAAATTGTATAACTGGCTGTTAAAAAAAGAGGCGATAGACACTAAAGGGAGAATGAAACTTCATAGGTCGAAAGGAAATTGACAAAATCATGGCAAAAAACGATAAACGGCAGAAATACAAACAACTGTCTGCAAAGCAGTACATAAACACAACGACTAATAAACGCGATTCGAAACGAAAAACGGAGGTGACATCAGGTGCACCGGAAGGGTTAGCATATGTTGCACAAATGTCATTTTGCTAATGGTTTTCTAAAGTCGGGTGGTGTAATAATAGCTGTTGTAACTATTTACACTGAATAGGTAAACACAATTTTAATTATTTATTACATGTAATCAGGACTTTTCAATTTTTCGGAAAAAAACACAGACGTGCACAAATGCCAATACTACACAAGAAAAAGTGTATCCAGGAACAAGGTAATGATATAAAACTAAGGCGACAATAGTTTACCGATATTCAAATCTCGTTAATCGAACGAGAAGAGAAAAACTAAGGTAACAGACAAAAACCAATGGAATCGCATGAACTCAAAAGGAGCGAAACCGGGTGCGTCGACAGGGTAGGCGTCTCCTGATGTGCATGCATCACTCTCCATGCGAATTCACACTCAGTCAAAATGCCACAATCGGGTATAGGACACATATAACTCGTTTTCCTTAAAAAGACTACAGCATCGTTCATATAGTGTAAAGAAACACTCTCCGATTTGAAATTGTTAAATTGATGTTTGTTCTGTGGTTTTCTAGTTAAACTGTTTTTTTTTTGTGTAACATATCGAAAAGATTATGACACAAGTCGTTGAACAGTTTATATGTTTATGTTATTTTCTCGAGTTAAAGTACCTTTCCTAGTAAGGGTTATCGATATATAACCATGGTCTTTCTTTATGTTGCTCATAATATAACCCAAGCTATTAAGCGACTTCTGAAATTAAATGTCAACATGCTAATTTCTAAAACATGATTTTCATTATTAGTGATCAACAGATCAACAGACAGTAAAACATTATATCACTGAATGTTCCGTTATGTGTACGAGATAGCATCAACTGACTGTCGGCATTCTAATCAAAACCCTTCTCCTTGACTTGTTCTGTATTTTACGTGGCAGATTATATATAGGAACTTTCCAAGAAGAGAGAGGCGAAGGATACCAAAGGGACATTCAAATTCATAAGTCGAAAATAAACTGACAATGCTATGGCTAAAAAAGAAAAACAAAAAACAATACACAAAAAAACATAGAAAACCAAAGACTGAGCAACACGAACCCCACCAAAAACTGGGCCGGGGGAGGGGGGTATCGCAGGTGCTCCGGAAGGATAAGCATCAACATCAAGAAGAATGATAAGACTTTAGTAGTGTCCCTTAACCTAAATTTTGCTAAAAGATAATGTTTTTGTGATTTATGTAACAGTTGTTATTTGAAACCTTTGTTGTGTTTTTGGTTCAATTATTTGCAATTTATGTATGTTGAGATGGGTAATTGCTTAGATCTTGTATTGGTTGATAATTATATATTCCGTTAAACAGGTGCGCTTTGTTTGGGTCAGTGTAAAAAGGGTAAAATGCAAAATATATCACTAAATGTTTTGAATAATGAAAACAACACACAACAGTCAATTATGCTTAAAATATTTTTTGAGGTAAATGCAGTAGCCAAACAAATGTTCCTACATATAAAGTTATGCATTTTTTTGGTATCTAAGGAGTTGGGATCATGATGACATATTGCATAATGTAGTAATAGCTTATATTGGTATTATCTGATTTGATATGATATCGTTTACTATCTAATGACTGCAATTTGTTAGCGGAAACATATATCTGCCTGTTATCCACCATTCGATCGAATCACCTTTTATGATGGATAAATTGTCTAAAATTACATCCTTATCCTTACTTTATGACTTCAGTTCGTTAAATTGTCTGTGATCTGCCATTAGTAAAGATGAAAATAGTAAGATATTTATTTTTATTATACATCAATTAACCTCTTCTATTAAGCAGAAATAAGAAAATAACAAGCAAAAATTGAAGTATTGATTGCTTTATATTTATGAACACGACAGAAGATTGAAGAAATAGTGTTTGATAATAATATGTACTAGCAGATTTTTCCTTAATCTTATTTTGTATGTGGATTTGTAATCAGCAATCCAGTTTGTCATCTGTTATTAGCATAATTTTCTTCCTGTTCTACATGTTCTATATACTGTTCTATTTATTTATCAGTTTGAAATAAGAGAAAAATAACTTTTCAAGCCAATATTACATTGGCGATGTTTGTTAGCTTATTTTGAAGAAATTGAACAAAACTTACTGCTAAATATTATTTCTATATTCTGCTTTTAAAAATGTTTGAAACAAACAAAAATCGTATTTATGTGTTTGTCTAATTCATAGCTAGTGCTCCTTTAAAAAAAATAAAACACCAAATTATTTCAAAACTGATTTAACGAAGGTTAATTAACAAATAAGAACGCATAGAAAATATAAAAAACCAAATAAACATCACTCTATCATATCACTTATTTGTCACGTGCTCCATGATTCAGTGTTGATTGTTTATCAAAGTCATAATCGGTAAACTGCGGCAACAAAACCCCAAAGTTAATTAGCCGTCAAAGTTTTCGATCCAGAATCACCGATAAGAATATATTTTTGATGATTATACGTTATGGATTCGTACTATTATTTAAAAAAAACGTGCACAGAGAACTTACTTTATTATATAGGTTTGTATTAGTTCAATAATTTCATTGGAATTATAATCACCAGAAACTCGTTTCATACGACAATATATAAGTAACAGTCTCGTTGTTTTTGTTAAAATATACATGGAGTTTTTTATCATGTTATGTCTGTGTCTGATTTGTTCGATATGGATGAGTTATTCTACATAGGTATTTGGTAGTATTATGTTCAGATTGTCCTCCCCAATAGACGTGTTTCACCCTTTCTTGTCTCCATTATGTAACAACAAACTTTAACATCAATTCATGTTATACAGATATAAAGATATATCGTTTTTTGTAAATATACATTTCATAATTTTATAATAGTTAGTTAGCTTTCACAATGATCACAAAATCATCTATTAATTGTTTGTCATTTCAATTTGAGTTTTTATTACATTTTTTTCATAAAGCATATCTGTATTTATTGTTTCATTGCTTATTAGACAAAATGCCAATTAGCATCATCTTTCCATCAGTCATTACCGCTATACAATGTGTTGATAACGTGAACGTATTCATTGCGTTCTCTGCAACTTTCAAATGAAGATCGGTTCTTTAATGACCTCTGCAATTTAAGTGAAAGGTTTAACCCTTTGTGCACAAATGGAATAAAAGGTTCCTCTATTCTCGTATAATTGTTGGTTTTTTATCAGGCAATACACTAGCTATAAGGTCACATGTTTCCATTTGAAAACTTTCCCCTTGGCTATAAATAGATCTCCTAGGAGAAATAATCTGACGTCGAAATGTAAAGGTGTTGTCTGTAACCATTGTAGAATGATCATATGGCATTTTAGTTGATTGGTCAGCACAAAAAGGAAATATATCACAAATGACTTTTACTGCTTTAAATCTTCTGAAATGAATAAAAAGGTACAATTATCAACGTGTATCATGACCGATTATTTAGCAGGTAATGCAAGTTAGTTGCGTTTGACTCCAACTGCTCTAAATCATTTGAAATTTGAAATGTCATATAGAGGTTTAACTATCAAAAGATAACATATTTATGATTGTTCATCAATAACGTTATTGTACTATTTCAAAACATAAACATCAAATAGAATATGATAAATGATTGATCAGTACAAAATCTAAATTATGTTAATTTATTCAAGAAACACATGTGTGCACGGACATTGATAAGATTTGTTTCTATTCTTAGTAGTCAGATATGAATACAAAATACCTCAACTATCAATTTGCATCAAGTGTGCTGATTGTGTAGTCCAAAAAGTGTATGCGAAATACATTTAACTTGTCAATAAAGTCGGTAATGAATTATCGCAAGGTTTGATATCTAACGGTGGTAATTTTGGCCTTGATTTGTTAATAAAACAGGAGTGTATTTATTATTAATTTAGCTGCTAAGATTGTCTGTCATAGTTAGGTTTACTGGGTATAGAATAAGAAGTTTTGTTATAATTGATAGACTTTTGTTTTTGTTAAAGATATGAAAAGGAGTTGTAAGAATCCTGCACTGAAATAAAATAATTAATACCACAAATATTGCGTCAATTCAACATTGAATAATTATCGTATTTATAATAATCATTAGATATGTCATGTTTTATTTATAATTCATGTTAGTGAAATTATTAAATTTTATTTTCAGTATGCGATATAGATTGTTACGGCTTACATTGAATGTAGCAATAACATTGGAATAGCTTTACATTGATTCGGATTATCAAATGTAATTATATGAAAACAGGTAGAAATGAGAGCATCGCCATGCAGCTATATCCTGTTTCGTGCAAAATACAAAAAAGAATGCAATCCAAAACAACGTAGAGTTATTACCTTCATACTGGAATACTTAAAACTAAAAATGTTGGATGTAAATCAATCGTAAAGACGAATTATGAACTAAACGACATTAAAAATGTTTTACGATTGTATTTTTTTTTAATGTAATCTGTTGAAAAATATAACTGTTCAGTTGTATGGTAAAACAAAACTCCAGTCACACCGTATTTTATATTTCATTTTTGTATGGAAGAGTAGAGTTATCAGAAACAAGGCTTTATGGAAATAATAACTGCATATAACAAAATTGTGTGTTTGCTACGTTGTTTGATCCGATAATGTAGAAAAGTGAAGCACAATGAAAAGATACATTTAAGTCTGATCTGAAAACAGAATATTACGGAAACGTATGGCTAGATAAATTAACAAGATTAAATGCAACTTATGGATGTAACCAAACGTTTATGTTCTAATAATTCATGTTGTTTATTATAATTGATTAATTGATAGGTGTGTGTTTAACGCCACTCTCAACATTATTGTTATTTCGTGGCGGTCAGTTTTTTATTGGTGGAGGAAGCCGAAGAGAACCTACTATTTTGTGTTGTGTAACATAACTGTAAAGTTGCTTTATAAAAAATAATTACTTCTATGCAAAACTGTCACAAATAAGGCTTCATGTTTTAATTTTGCCAGGAAACGTTGAGACAAGACATTCTGCATTACATGACAACAAAATTATGACAAACGTGTGTTTACTAATTTCATGTATGTTAGTCATAATCTGCATGCATGGAAATAAGGAAATGTAGTATGATTGCCAATGAGATTACTCTCCGTCAGAGACTAAATGGAGTAGAAGTTAGAAACTGTAGGTCACCGTACGGTCTTCAACATCACAAATTGGTTGACTTATAAGATGAGCCTGTTTTTCAATTTACATGCGACATGTTTCGCAATCGTAGATCTTAAGATACCAAAATGGTCGTCGGATTTGTAATTTTACCGATTATGTCCAAACGTGACATTTTGACTTGGTGACGATTCGCATAGCGGGTGGTGCATGCACAACGCTACCCTGTCGAAGCACCCTGTCTTGGTCCTTGTAGGGTTATTTCCACTTTTTTTTCCCTGATTAGTCTTTTCTTAATCGATTTACGAGATTTGAACATTGGTAAAATACTTACGCCTTAATTTAGATTGATTGCTAAATTTTTAATTGAATTTCGTAAACAAATTATAAACTAAACATACCTGAGTTGTCGACAAATTCTAGTACTAAATACTCCATATATAACTGGATTAATTGCACTATTTAGTGGTGCCAAACTCTGAACAAATACTGTAATCAGCATATTTGTGTGGTTCAACTTGATATGTCCATAAACTTGGAGTAAATTCCACAAAAAGTAAGGACTCCAGCACATAATGAATACTGAAACAAGATATATGTAGTTAGAATATTATGATATTAAAAATATAGTTTGATAGGTAAGACATATTTACAAAAAGACTGTTTTTTCATGTCCAATCAACTTATATCCCTATTTAAAGAAGGCATTAACTATTAAAAAACTTTAACGTGTATCATAAAGCTATAACCTTCTTATTAAACATATGATTTTAGTATAGATTTTCAATATTTTGGCTTTCAAACCCTTTTTTCAAAGTATCAATTTACTTAATTTCAGTAAATATAACATGTATACTTCATGTCACAGTCACGCTATCAAAATTCAAGGAGAATATATCTCAATATGACAAGTAGAGATAATTTTTATAAATTGCACTGAAAAACGTTTACCTAAGATAATAACAAATGTCATCTTTATTGTTCGGATTTTCGCTTTTGGAATAATTCCTCTGGAACTGGCTCTAGAGTCATGTTGAACGTTTGAAACTTTCTTTCGTTGATTTTTTATTTCTGTAAAAGACAAAACAGACAAAAATGTGAAAATAGAATAAACCTATTCTGCTCCCTTTCATTTCTCTTAAAAGAACATAAGTAATCTGTATGAACAGAATAGACACCCGAAAATGAAAAGTTTTTTTTTAAATTATAACTGATTTCAATTTGATAACTTTGTTACAAAAAACAGTATCGGCAAAAAGAGTGTTGAAAAATTGTAGTGAGGAAAATCCATCAACTTGAAAACATTAGACAATTACGAGACTGGTACAAGTAAAAAAAAGGAAATAGGCATAGCACTAAAAACTATTACTTTGAACTTGTTCACCGTTTACATGGTTAAATACGTTTGTTTTGTCATTTGATTCACAAATCCCCGCAGCATATACAAATATGGTTTGCTTTCCAACGAGACAATCAGTCCACAGGACAGGATGTAAACAACTAGAGACAATCAGTCCACAGGACAGGATGTAAACAACTAGAGACAATCAGTCAACAGGACAGGATGTTAACCATTAGAGACAATCAGTCCACAGGACAGGTTGTAAACAACTAGAGACAATCAGTCCACAGGACAGGATGTTAACAACTAGAGACAATCAGTCCACAGGACAGAATGTAAACAGCTAGAGACAATCAGTCCACAGGACAGGATGTAAACAACTAGAGACAATCAGTCCACAGGACAGGATGTAAACAACTAGAGACAATCAGTCCACAGGACAGGATGTAAACAACTAGAGACAATCAGTTCACAGGACAGGATGTAAACAACTAGAGACAATCAGTCCACAGGACAGCATGTAAACAACTAGAGACAATCAGTCCACAGGACAGGATGTAAACAACTATAGGTCAACATTTTCTGCACAGAGATTGCCCAAGAACACTGTTTGAAATTGATATAATGTAACTTTTACATATACCGACAAATGATTATTATGTTACAAAACTTAGAAATGCAAAACATAAGATATGCTGTAATGTATGATGTTAAATAAAGATGATTATTAGTGAATACCTTATCATTTAATCTGGAAAATCCAAACAAAAAGAAAAACGAACAAAATAAAACAAAGACAACATAAAAATAAACCGTCTGACCGGTACATCAAATCTTAAATTATGCAATTCAGTTTTTGAAAGTGAGGATATTTTGTGGCTTGTTGCTCGTCGTTTTATTGGCAATTATAACTAATTTTTTTTATATATATCGTTAGCAATTACACATGTTACAGCTGTTGTTGTCCTTTGTCATGTTTTGTCACCACGATTTATGTCACGACTAACTTTCTTCCTTTTGTTTTGTAAACCATACCTGGTCTATAATATAGCGGTTTCCTTTCATGCTTCTTTTTCATCGTCGCCATCAATGCAGAATTCTTGCTAACGATAATAAACACCATTATACCATAACAGATAGCTATAATAATTGCAGGAATAATGAACACAGCTAGGGCAATAATGGTTACATATATCTGAAAAAGTGTTAATTAGTGAAAGTGAGTAACCAACATTTCAAAATATATAACATATAGTAATTTAAGTTATTTGCCAAAAATTTTGTATATGAAGTTATTAGTAACAGACATTTGATTTGTATAAAAAACAGAAGATTAATGACTTTTGTATTCTAAATCTAACCAGTGAAGAAGGCCGCCAAAAGTAAATTAATAATATATAATTTTGCAACTTAAAGCATAATAGACGATGAACAACAGATATTGTAATGTTTTAGTTAATATAAATAAGAAGATGTGGTATAAGTGCCGATGAGACAACTATCCATCCTGGTTACAATGTGTAAAAAGTAAACAATTATATGTCAAAGTACGGCCTTTTACACGGAGCCTTGGCTCACACCGAACAGCAAGCTACAAAGGGCCCCAAAAAGACTAGTGTAAAACAATTCAAATAGAAAAACCAACGGTCTAATCTATATAAAAAACGAGAAATAAGAAACACTTATGAACCACACCTACAAACGACAACCACTGAACAATAGGATCCCGACTTAGGACAGGTGCTTAAAAATGCAGCGGGTTTGAACGTTTAACAGTCGCCAACTTTCACCCTAACCTGAAACACAGTGGTATAACATTACAACATAAAAAGACAAACAATAAAATATCAATTGAAATGGCTTAACTCGATCAAAAAGTCAATACACAAAAACAAGTAAATATACACTGAACGAACATGACGAATAAGTTTGATCTATGACACAATACAAATAAAGATGTTTCAATGTCAAAAAGACAACTTTAACCTAGGACAAAATGGCGTTAAATAAAGTAACGTTCACAGGTAAATTTAAATATAATAAAAACGCTGTTTTGTTTCTAAAGCCGCTTTGCCACGTCTTATATTAGTTTTTTTTTTACTAATTCATAGCTGATTTATGTTTTCCCCGACTAGGTAAATAATTTTCATAATCAAATTGCAGTTCGTTTGATCACAGTTTTTCGTTGTTCATAATCCAATGACGCCAAACAATCTTTCTTACTTTTGAATTTCTATTGTTACGTCATATACAAGTATATCATATTTAATGACGTCATACTGAAAGAACACATCTTTTTACAGATAAAATTTGCCTAAATATCATCAAAAGTTATTAGAGAATCAAATTCACCACCGAATCTCGAGCAACACAATTTCTCCACTCTCGACGATTAAATTAACAATTTTTAAAATTCTCTCGAGTGGAGAAATATCACACTCGATGCGGTAGTTAAATGTTTATTCAAGTTTTTCTGTTTTCCTGTGATTCTGTTGAAGAGTTAATGTTACACAAACGCCGTAAGTAATGCATCAAACTGATTTTCAAATGTCGAACTATGCAGTTTGTGATATATTAGCAGAAAACAACAATGCAGAGTACACACACAATAATAGCCTTGTTTAAGAGATCATATATCACATTGATGCCTGTGCAATGTCATATTATAAGTGCTCACACTTTCACTGGGCATCACCTTAGGTTTTTTGGTTGGGTTTTGTGTCGCTCAGACATAAGTATTATTTAGTGTTTTGTAAACTGTTATGTGTTTTTCCGTCGTACTTTTGTTTTTTGCTAAAATTTTGTCCAGTTCTCCTCGACTCAAATGAGTTTTGATTTTTTCTTTTGAAAACTTCCGCCTCTTTAATTTAAAAGGTGTAATCTTATCAATTGTATTGGCATACAACTATGCAGTTTATGACAGTCACATTAACAATTATTTACAGTCCACATTCAACCTTAGTTTTGTATGATATATAAGTTACACTAAGTCTAAAGGTAGTTAAAAGTCTAGATATTATAATCCAATTAACTCACCTTCCAATGTACATTTGTTGGTAAATTTATAATGCAGTGATCTGTCTTAAATAAAACAGCGGCAGGAATAGAGAAAACTGTTGCAATCAGCCAAGCTGTGGCTACAAGAATCCTATTTCTAGCTTCTGTTGATTAAAAATAAAGCATATTTTGAAAAAATGGCGTATATAATAGTAAGTTAATCATTAATTGACCTGGATTAGTTGCGGCTATTGAATTTTCAATAGTCGATTCTAATTAACTACCTATGAAATTATGTATGGGTGAAAAATCCAAAAATTGTAGACGTTCTTTAAAGAAAAGCGATATATTTCCATCTGTAACGTTTATATATATATATATATATGTATTTTAACCAGTTTCAACAACGAACCTTCATGAATTTATCATTAAAGAAAATATACGAAATTGATTTGTTATTCAACGTTTCTATTATATATATTAAAAGGCGGATGAGAATTGAATGAAGGAAAAGAACTAAAAACTCAAGAAAAAACAATATAAGTTTCGGAAATGTAATATTTAAAGAAGGAATATAAAATTAAGGGTTATTTTTTTTTTAATGTCACCATTTAGGCGTAGTAAACATTAAATCAACATTACAGAATGTTGAATCATCCGCAATTTATTCAATTGTCTGACCTTTTCGTATTGAAATGTAATTATACACATGTGTCTACAGCAAATTGTTGATTCTAACAATTTTCATCGGGACTTTCAATCTTGGTCGGCAAACAAAATCAAGAAGTTACGTTAGATAAGGGATGGATTACATGTAATCAACAATGGTGTAATCCAATTGTCGTTAATATCAAACATTGTGATGATCGAAATTGTATCTCGTTCAGAGTGTTCATTCAGCAAAAACAGAGAAACCTTTTAGATTTGTGGGACTATTTAGAGCTTTGCATTCTGTACAGACACCTGTTTATTGTTGACTTAAATTGTTTAATATAAGAGAGGCGGCAGATACCAAGTGAACCTTCAAAACTCATATTTGGAAGAGAAACTTACAACGCTATGGCATAAAAACGACGAAAAGACAAACACAATAGAATAATTTAATTTTGGATGTAACGCGTCTTCTGATTGGCTGACGTTGTTTTGTTTATCAGCTCATAGACATAATTTTGTCATGTGACCGTGACGTCATCAACGTTTTTTCATGGTTTACTCCGGTTTAAAATGGAATTTAGAATTAAATTATAAGAAATGACTGTAATATTTTTTCTGTCTATTCGAAATAACATAAAAAATGTGGTGCACACTTTAAAATAACCCGCTACGCGAGTTATTCAGTGTGCACCACATTTTTGATGTTATTTCTTAATAGACAGAAAAAATATTACAGTCATTCCTTAAATACTAAAAACCCAACCGAAAAATAAAACGAGAATGATCTCAGATGCTTCGGAGGAGTAATCAGATTCTTCTGTACATGTGACACGTGTTACTCCTATAAAAACGTTGATAAGTTATTATGTAATAAGGCATCACCTACAAGGTCTTTGGAAATCTATGTAGAAGTGTTGTTTAATTGGCGTATACCCGGTATCTCCCTGTATTCATTCAAATACGTATTTGTATGCCTGCATCTTTTGAAATGTAGATAAACCAGGCAAATTGAAATAGCGAGCAACATTGGGAAAGTGTTGCTTTTAGATTAATCTCCAACAGTAACTACTGAGTAAAAACCTTTTTGGTAATCAGTAAATATAGACTTATAAACTGAAAAAGCTTATTCAAATATCCAAAACGATAGAATAAGCTCAACCTTCGACGTCTGGACTTCAGATTTTGTATATATTTCATTTATCTAAATAAATAAAAACTAAGAGATGACACCGAGCTGACAATCAAAACCGTACGTGCTTTAAGTCTTAAAATGAACGAGAAAAAGCCCCCTGAAAAAAGTTTAAAACAATCAAGAAAGCACAAGACAGAAAAAGGATTGGGAAAGACAAACAAAACCGGAGTCAATGGAGAATTTATCAAAATATATGATAGATCATGACCAGTGCCGAGGAAATTCCGTCAAAGGGCTAACAGTTCACTGCAAACTGTGCAAAGAGTGTGGACATTGTTGACTACTTATCAATTTCAGACAGATCGAATACGCAAATCTAAATATAAATGTGGTAGAATATAAATGGGAAAACCAACCTAAAATACGTTTTAGCTATGATTCATCTTGTAGGAGTTCACTGACAAATGATACTTCACGCATCTTTTTAGTAGCAATAAAGTTCTCTTTCTGAATTTTTTTTGTTAGTTGCTCTATGAACTTTTGGATAATCCAGGAGAATAATTAGGTGCTGATAAAACAGTTTAACCACTCCATATGTTCATATACTTGTACGCAAATTCTATGTCATGGACCTCGGGAGTGGTTGGCCTAAGCACTATCTTTATTGAGTTTGTATGAGCTTTGGGCTTCCTGCTTGATCTTTGATAGTCTTCTTTGATAGTTGAACATACAGTCTTCAAATGTTTCACATTTGTGAATTCGTGGCCTTTATAGCTTACTGTGATTATTAGTTTTGCTCATTGTTGAAAGCCGCACGATGACTTATAGTTGTTAACTTCTACTTCGTTTGATCTCTGGTGGAGGGTTGTCGCATTGGCATTCATACCACTTCTTCTTATTGCTATATTCAACAACAGAAGATTATCTGTATGTCAAGCCCTACATTATCTCGAGTCTATAATAACATTTACAGTTTCAATTATACTGCACCAGATGCGAATCTGGACAATAAATGTCGCTTCAATGATACTCGAGGGCAAACTGTTGAAAATCCAAAGCTTATATGAAAAAATTAAGTTTAAAACAGTTTTTCTGTAAAAATAAACCGAAACTATCAAAGACCTGCCACGTGGTATATTTTGTCTTCTTGTGTGTCAGTTGATTCAAATTACTGTGAATTCTTTTAAATAAAGGCAACAGTAGTATACCGCTGTTCGAAATTCATAAATCGATTGAGAAAAAAACAAATCCGGGTTACAAACTGAAACTGAGGGAAACACATCAAATATAAGAGGAGAACTACGACACAACAGAAACACAACATTAAAATGTAACACACACAGAAACGAACTATAATATAACAAGGGCCATTTTCCTGATTTGGTACAGGACATTTTAAGAAAAAAATGGTGGGTTGAACCTGGTTTTGTGGCTAGCCAAACCTCCCGCTTTTATGGCAATGTTAAAATGACAACATTACACAATATATATGTTACTCGACCAATTTCTACTTAATACTTCCAAGCCAATTTGTAATGTCAATCAAAGTGTAAGAGGATACTTATAAGGGAAAAATATTAAATTAGATCTGGTTTAACAACATCGAGACGTCTACTTGTATTACATTGGAATTAAAGTAAAGAAACTTAGGAAATGTTACATTCATGTAAAAGGAAAAATAAATTAGATATCTTACTACTTGTGGAAAATCCTAATGGTCTAGCTATGGCATCTAATCTATCAATACTTAACGCTACAAGGACGAAAGTTGATCCATATGTGACAAGGCACTGGAAGAAAGAAAACTGCATTATTGACAAATGTATACTAGCAGTAAACAAGTGGATGGAACACGGAAATTAGCAATCTTTATTTGCATTATTAGCCGAGTTGCGACAATGTTGAAGTCGACATATAAGATGATGAATGTTATCCGATCGTCCGGCCGTCAATTTTTCGGTTTCCGGACAAAATCTCTTGAGCCTATGAATAATAATCATTACCGAATTTGGTTTGATCATGGCAGCACATTTTTGACAAGAACTATAACGATTTATTATCACTGATTAATAACCCGTAGAGCGTTGTAGAAAAGATGGAAAAGATCTAAATTGTACATTATCGTTAAGAGTCTTTTGTGACCAACTGCGATGTTTCAGTCCTAAACTGACGATATATAATCCTATCAGTCACGTGGTGTTTAATGAGATAAGAAGATATTATAACCTGTTTATACCTAATTATATTTCAAACTTGTCGATAAACTGATTAACACAGATCAATTTGCACAAATAATTTGTAATCGGACAAGAATTATGAATATTACAACGCTTAAAAGGCATGAACGGCAACACGGGTATTATGAATGCAATCGAGCAGGAATTGTTAACCTTTACGGGAACACTGGAGCTACACAGACTTATCCAAGTCAAGTCCCTTTATTTAAGTGGGATTTGTGTTTTCCTGTCGAATGTTTTGCTGACTTTTCTTATATCCTTTTTTTCGATGCAAAGCATTAGGAAGACACGTTATTCTTGGGCTATATCTACGTTTTGTTTTACTACAACTTTGTAGATGATGTGTTCTGTGTAAAGATGTTTGTCTGTTTGTCTTTTTATTTTTGGCCATGGCGTTGTCAGTTTATTTGGATCTATGAGTTTGACTGTCCCTCTGGTATCTTTCGTCCCTCTTTTGCTATACAGGAAAGCATGTGTTCCTTTAATACTGCGTCGACAGAAACTAAATTTTAAGAGTGAAGATTCATGAATTGCAAAAATGAAGATAACAATGTAAAAATTACATGAACCTATAAGGGAATTTTACTGTAACATATTACATGAATATTTTGTACACAAACAAGATATTAAAGAGCCAATACTATTTTAGCTCAAATCTTATCCAATAGTTCAATTTGACTTTGGAAATAAAATGGGTTGTAGGATAATAAAAGCTTTCAACCATACGTCCAGTGTAATCCTTGTTCCTAAACACCGGTTTGTTCGTTTGCTTCCGTAAGCAGGAATTCCTAGAAGTCACAATTTCGCAGTTCGCCACTCGCTGGTGTGTTAATAACGTACGCTGTTTCAATTTCGTACATGTCATTCAAATGCAAGAGGTATAATAGTTCAAACGATTGAAGTCAGGGTTCTGTAGTTCTTTTAATATAATACGGATCTCGCATGTGGATCAGGATAAACCCCGGTTTTTTGCCAAGTTTCGTGTCGCTTGGTCTTTAGTTATCTAATAGATGATGTGTTCTGTGTAAAGATGTTTGTCTTTTGGTCATTTTTTTTTTTCATGGCGTTGTCAGTTTATTTCGACTTATGAGTTTGAATGTCCCTTTGGTATCTTTCGTATTTCTCTTATAATACGTCCATGGTCTCATAACTTTTGTATAAGAAAGACCCATTGGTTTAGGGTCAGCATGTAAAAACCATAGTACACGGATGCCCCACTCGCATTATTATTTTCTATGTTCAGTGGACCGTGAAATTGGGGTCAAAACTCTAATTTGGCATTAAAATAAGAAAGATCATATCATAGGGAACATGTGTACTAAGTTTCAAGTTGATTGGACTTCAACTTCTCCCTTCAACTTAAAAAACTACCTTGATAAAAAAATTTAACCAAAAACTTTAACCTGAAGCGGGACAGACGGACGGACGAACGAACAGAAAGACGAATGGACAAACGGACGGATGGACGAACGAACGGACGCACAGACCGAAAAACATAATGCCCTTAGGTACGGGTTAAAAATAAATACAGATAGAACTGCCACAAAAACAAATGCAAATTATAAAGAACTGTAAACTAGTGTGCAACGTTTTGTGTAAACCAAGCGTAAATGACAAATGGATTTGATAATTTCAATCAGAAAATCACATTTAAGCTGTTATTTCTAAAAAAAAAATGTCAGTTAAATTAAGCGAAGTTACATTTCTTCATGTCGTTGACTTTGCGTATTGTCAATACTGATCTAAAAAATTATGGTCCTAATGTTAGGTTTATTTTATTATTTAATTTAATTAACTCATGTGTTTACTCACTTTCTTACACGCCTACGTCTATCTTGCCTAAGAAAAAAAATGTTGCGACATTTGAATCGGAAGGTCATACTGCGTTCGAATAATTTCAAAGAAAGAAATAAATTTGAAGTAATAAGTTTCAATTTAACGCTCAGTTGCAATGACATGTAGAAGAAATAATGTACGAGATATTCAAACATTTTTTTGTTTTATAGTTTTTAACATTTTTCTTTAACGTTTAGCAAAATATACGAGTTGCAACAATAACAGTTAACACAGAAAATAATAACTTTTAGATTTACAATGCTTTAACGAGAATATTGTACTATAATCACGTGAAGGTGATAATTAACGTAACCTTCATTATTAAGTCATGATCACATGAACGGGGTACTTGCTGCATTGTTATCTGAATAAAACAATTGTTTAATGATCCTGGGGGAAATATATATTTCCTCAAATTGAAATTGTACTTGTTCATTGCAATAGTTTCATTAATAGGCATTGCTTTAGTTCAATAGTTACTGGGAATAATGTGAATTATTTTGTTATATCTTTAATTTCTAAGTATTCTGATTTTATAAGCAGAATTATTTATCGTTTCAATAAGAGTTTTTCAATTCATTTCCATTATGTAATATCTCCTGGGTTTATCGCCTGAGGAACTTGTCTTTTTTTTCTATTTCTTTACAGGTATTAACATATGACAAAAATTAAAGGATATTAGGGTTAAATGTAAATGAAATAATAGCGGCAATACGTTTATTTACTTAATTCACGTCGCAGCCTTTTATAGCCGACTATACGGGATGGGTTTTTCTCATTATTAAAGGCCGTACGGTTGCCTATAATTGCTTACATCCACTTCATTTCAACTTGGGTTGATAGTTGTCTCATAGGCAATCATACCACATCTCCTTATTTTTATATTAATAGATTTTCCTTCCACGGAAATCTGGTTCATATTGAATATGATGTCTTGTAAGTGTTTTTTTTTCGTATGAAGAGCACTAATTAATCAAACCTTATTAATATCATGCTATGTATTTGTTTGTGTATGTTAAAAAAAGAAACATTTATAATCAACTGACATAACACAGACAATTAAACCAAGATCAACAAAAACCCAAATAAAAACTCTCTGTTTTTGTTAGCAAAAAAGAGCGGAGAAAGATACCAAAGGGATATTCAAACTCATAATATATGTGCTCATTCTCAAATATATTCTCGTCAAGCGGTTCTGTAGTTTTCGTCATGTTTTTCTCTGTTTTTTGTCATAAGTAGCTTTACTTATCGTCATAAGTGTCTGTCTTTTATTGATTGCGTCAGTTAACTTATCTATCCACATAAATTAATGTTATGCAGTGTGTCAGGTAGAAATTTGTTATCCAGGAACTTACAAACGAACTTATGATGCATGCATAGTAAGAGCTCGACACATTTATCCTGTTGACGCAGCCGGTATCGTTCCATTTTGAGTTCATGTGATTCCTTCAAATTTGCTTTTTACCTTTTTAACATCGTTTATCTACTGGGAGAACTAAATTATTACTATTGTGGGGAAAATGTTAAACACCAAAAAAAAAAAAAAAATTTTGTTCTAAGTAATTATTATCTGATACTGAACTTCAATGGCATTTATAAACGTTTTGTAAATTATCGCGAATTTATCTAAAATGTTCAGACATATTTAACACAAGCATAACATGCAATGTGTTCACCTTCATGAATGAAAATTATACCTAGGCATTTCATTTTCTTACGGTAGGTTGAATTTTGTGGCCCTCAAATTTTACGCTTGGTGTAAAAGAAATACAAATCTTTTCTTATGTACGAAATGCACATTGGACATGAAGCTTATTTTCAATATCATACCTGTGAAAATTTAACAATTTTGCAAAGTACTTCGCCTCCATAAAACTGCCCAGCCAGTCGCCATATTAAGTCAGGCATTAAACTCACTAATCCGACTAACAAATCTGAAAAAAAAAATAATATATTATATATATAAAAGAATAAGGGAGTCGGAATAATCCTTTACTTCTATAATCTCTAAATACTTAAGACTATTTAAGTTTTGTTTATTGTTATTTTTGTTATTTTTGTTAGTTTTGTTTTGTGTTGCTTTTTTGTTTTGCTTTCGTGTGTGTTGGGGGGAGGGGGGTAAACATATTTGATGTTTTGATGTTTATATAATAATAAGGGAAGGAATAAAACTTTTTATTGCTATCATCTTTCAAGAGTTATGATTGATTGGTATTTGTATACTTAACGCCCAGTGGCATATATTGTATGCTCATGAAAGACGATCGTTAATGAAGAAGACGTGGGTCTTCTTTTTGAATAGATTTGAATAAAAGGGGGTGTCGGGTAAATGTTAATGAGGTAGTAACCAAACGATACTAAAGATCAATGCCTTTCAGAAGATACGTTGGATCTGAATTAATAAATTGTAGGACAACTCAATTCAATCACTGAAACGCATAGTATTTCACTTAAGAGTACATATCTTTTTTATTTTCTTTCCGTCGAAGTAATGATTCAGTGCGATGAAATAAGAGTTGGCTATATGTTCAATGATTTTCACAAATATCTCTTATCATGATGGTCAGCATGAACTTCAGTTGTACATTTATCAATTGACCATAACAAAAGATCCGAATATATATTGAAAACTATATCCTACTGGTGTTATGTGTAGACAGTTTAATACTGTATCATCAATATAATTAATAGGGGTTTTGACCGCAAAAGGCAAACATTAGTGTTTGCTTTGTTGCAATCTCAAGAATGATAAATTGTAATCGGCGCATTGCACAAACATGAAAATTGCATTTAACATCAGATATTGACGTAGCAGCGGTTTGGTATTAAGTGTTGTTATGCACCATATTGTAACTTTTTAAAGACAATAGAGAGTATTGACGAATAACTTAAATTAAATATACATAGAAAAACATGAATGGAATATTTATGCATTAGGTAACATGTGTAAGTCTTATGCATTGATAAATTAGTTTTTAAAAATTGAGTTTTGACATTTAATCAATGTTAAGGATACTTTATCCGACATCATAATCAATTTGCCGTTATTTATTAGTTAACATGTTATTGCTACTTATATAATTACATAATAACTTGAGTCTATTGATCTGAGAAACAAAATTTATTATTTTTTTTTGCGCGCTTTGGTTATCTAAACATTTCGTTTTACTTTATTGGTAGAAACTTCCTTTTTACCAAAATACATTAATTTTATTAGTCTATTAAAAAGCCCAATGTAATAAAGGAATAACTAATTCAAAAATTCAAAGATCGAAAAATATTTTACTGGAGAGGCGCATCATTGAATCGAAGTGTTGTTCGGACACTCTCTAAATATTTTGCTATATTTGAATTCTTGGATTAGTTATTTCATAATTAACTACATCTTTAATCATAAGAACTAGTATGGATTCCCATTGACTGTCTCTGGTTCATTATTGCACCTCTGGTAAATTAGTGATAATGCGATTGGTTAAACGCCTTAGTTTAAGTGATTTTAAATGTATTTTATATAAAACGGAATAAATCGTTCATAGTTCATAAGCCCTATGCACGCTATGGTAAAGAATACCAATTGAATTGAAGTGCATTTGCATACACCAAAAAAAATTGGCAATAATTGTTTTACAGCTTAACCGAATTATTTGAACTATACAAACAAAACAATCCGTCGAGTTGTTCATCATTCGTAATTTTCAAAGTAATTTGTAACCATGCACAACATGTAACAATTTATAGTCTTGGAATTTTTTTTTGATTTTTTGTTATGACGTTGTGAAATATTGCAAACCTTAATTAAATCTATTTTTTTTGCCTTTTCACTAGCGACGTGTTCTCATCTTTTCATTGATTAAAAATCTTATATTTTAACTTGTGTTTTCAAAGTACATTTTCGTTGTTTTTTTATCAAAAAAATATTTCACACATGTTAAATAAATCTTATAATTTTACTTCTCTAACATCATACATGTACAACAATGGGTGTAATCAAGCAGCGCGTTACGTTTGCGCGAACTCGTCTTACATTTGCGCGAAAAAAGTCCACGTTTGCGCGACAAAACGCATTACGTTTGCGCGAAATTTACCTGTTGAGAAGTTACTACATTTTCGCGGATTTATACAAAAACATATGAAAATTAAATCCATAACTTTTTATAAAAAAAAGACAAAATTTACTTTGTATATTTAATATAAACTGAAATTATTTTGAACAAATTTACTTAACAAAATAAAAGAAAATGATTTGAACTGTTTTATCGGTCATCTTACATACACATGTTAACGATTGAGCTGTACTTTCCAATTATCCACCCATATACAAGTTTGAAAGTCCACTAACAAAATGGACTTTATTATATCCGAGTCAAATAAAGGAAAAAAAACCCTTGATTTTTTATGGATTAACTTTCCGTATAGATTCTAAGTTGACTATATGAATGTTCTTTTCCTAATATATGTTTATCCTTATATGAAATAAGAAGATGTGGTATGATCAATTTGTGTTCAAAAGAATAATCGAAAAACAAATTACAGGTAAAAAAAAACTCAGGTAAACTACAGGTAAATTCGCGCAAACGTAATACCATTTCTCCGCGCAAATGTAATGCTTGTCATTTTCAAATCCGCGCAAATGTAGGTCGCCCTAATCAAGACCTTGTAGATAAGGTTGTATCAAAACAAATTGAGAATACGTAGAAAAGGATATGGTTCCTTGCATTTTCTACCTACAATGTAATTGCTTTAAGGAAGACCGTGATCAACGTGATAAAAAAGAACTACTAGTTCAACACTTCAAATATAACCAAAAAATCAACTCTTGGCAAGTATCGTTGAATTGAAATGTAACAGTTGTTCGGTCACTCGTTAAACATTTTTCTATATTTGAATTCTTGGATTAGTTATTCTATAAATTCTATGATTATCTACAACTTTAATCAAAAGAGCTGAAATGAAGTTTCATTGACCGTCTCTTGTCCATTATTTTTCTGCATGAATAAAGAAAATCAATCACTCAGCACATGAAAATATATATGAAAATAGACATCATCATTTCCGATCAGTTTGATTTATTTTGTCATGCATCACTCAACACTAAATGGAGAATGTAATGGTATAATGTATTGAAACAACGACATAACTAGATGTGTCAGTCGTGTTAAATCACTCGTGGTTATCAGAATATTTGTTCGAAAACCTATTAAGAAATATATAAGGGGGACTTAGGAGACATCGGTACAATGTTATAATACTATATCTTTTTATTTTTTATATTGATACCATTTACCAACAATCTAAAAAAGTTCATAATAGTCCTATGTAATCGTTGAAGCGATCGGGTTGTAGGTACAATTCCAAATTACCATATCAATGAAGTCGAGTAACAGTGAATTTTCGACTAAGACGAAAGGAAAATGTTTGTAAAGTGCAGCAACCAACACGTTGTAATATATACGTTAGTAACATACATGTAGGCAAATGAAATGATTTATAACAAATAGGTAAAAATGCCGATAAATTTAATTGTTTGTTAAGTCAGTAACGGATAGGAATACAGAAATTTAAAACATTTTTAAAAATAAATTTTTGAAACAATAAAATGTTCTTTGATGTTGCTAGCAAACTTTCGAACATTTAATATCCTTCTGGTAAGAGAAACAACTCTTGAAACAGTTGCGGATGAGACAAAACGTAACTGCAATTAACGATTGCAATCGAAACTACTCGGCTATTCTCACTACGCCTAAAACAATACAAGTATGGCAAAGCACAAATGGCCGTTTTGTTACGCTAATTATCAATACTAACCTGCAATAGCTAGATGCATGATGAAGAAAGTCATTCTGGATCTATTTTTAGCTACAGACACTGCTACCAAAACTATTAAATTACCAATAGTTGTAACGATTAGCAAAAATATCAAGAATGCTAATTGTTCTTCCTGAAAATAAGAATAATGAAATGTTACAAAATAAGTAATGATTTGTTGTAGATCTGGATATAAGACTAAGGCGCGAAATAGCAAAATCAACAAAAGCTCTTTTACTAAATTTGGCAAAATAACGGAAGTAGTGGTCATACAAGTGGGAGGTTAAGCTAGCTATAAAAACAGGTTTTATCCACTTTAAATTTATGTTCGGAAAATGCCTGAAGTTAGTCAGAAATATGATTTTTTTTTGCATTCGTTGTGATGGTTGATAGTATATCATTTAATTGTGTCAGTTTTATGCCCATTTAGTATCTTTTGCCTCTCTTTTATGGACTTCCCCCTTTTTGAATTTGCCTTGAATTTAGTTTGATATTTTTATTAATATTTTTTTCGATTACATGGACAAAATTATAAATTGAACTATTAAATAAGATTCCTGGAAGCAGCATTTCAAGCCACAATAAGAAAAACTAAAATTAACAGGAAACACCCGCTCCTAAACTCCCAAATAAAAACCCCCAATAAATAAACACACACACACACGCCAATCCTATATATTTATAAGCAGGTTTAGTGAGCAAATAAAATCAACAAATCCATATCTCTATGACAACTACCTTCGGACAATTCCGCCAAACGATCCATTTGAATGATCAAACCTCGCAAACAATCTTAGCCCTTGAAATCCCTAAACAAATATACACTTAAGCATATTTCATCCAAGACAGAGCACGTGGACACGTAAACGAGCCACTGTCATTGATAAGGATAAATTTTATGCAATTCAATATTGCCTTATCAGATTAAGGTAAAGGTATTATATCGGTTTCAGAGCGGGAAATTACTGTATTAACAGCTTTTTTTTTTTATCAAAATCTAAAGTGATTTAATAGTATTTGTGTAAAACGGAATATCATAATTCCTTTTCAAGCCATGGTCACAAATGGCAATTGAATTAAAGTGCATTTGCCTTCACAGTAAATCATTCTCATTTACAATAACTGTTTTACTGCTTAACCCAATAATTTGAACTATACAAAAAAGTATCCTCTCATCTTATTTATGGTAACTGGTCATTATATTCTTTTTAGTAATTTGTTATTTAATGTACCGGAAGCATTTTTTGAAAACTTTTATTACGTTGTGAAAGATTTCAAACTTAACTAAATCTTCTAAAAGTTTTGACTATAAATTTTTTCACCAGCAACGTGTTCTCAGCTTTTCATTGGTTTTAAATCTGCTTTTGTCAATTGTGTTTACCATTTTCAAACGTTGCCATTGTAAAATCACGAAAAAGAAATAAACAAGCATAATGAAATCAGGAGCATAACACGATTTGTAGATTTCAAGCATAAAAAAGTCAACATTGATCAATTTTGATGTATTGTTAAGATACTTGTGTTTTTCGGGTTTTCCGCAACAAATAGATTCGTAGTATTAAACGCGGTTGGTATCTTTTGCCAAAATTAGACATTGTTAAGGATGTTCGATACTCTGTTTCAAAATAACAAGCTTTTTAAAAGACTGTTATAAATTGAAAGTATATGAATAAAGGAACTTAAAAAGCAGAAAAAATTGAAGAATCCATGTGCTTGTTTTCGAGATATAAGCCGTTGAAATTTGGCGGAAAGAGATTCTCTCTAGATTTTTCATACATTTAACTTTGGCATCGTTTTTTTCTCCCTCAAAAATGGCTTTTTGAACTATATGTAATAAAATCATGAAAAGAAAATGGCACTTCATGGATAAAACCAGAAATTCCGAATATCTGGCAAAAATTCAAAAACAAGAGGAGCAAACATCCTTAACACTTAGTTGTCGTACTAGAAATATAAGTTCTTGTCTCTCATTGAGACGTCATTTATATGTTCTGCTCTATATAACGTCATAAAGCCCTGATACGAACATTACAGAGCGACTGAGGAATATAATTCAATCACATAAATGTACATCAATAAAACAAATCAATTGAAATTCCATGTATGTCTTGTAGGCATGGGTTACTTCCCTTTCCCTCTACTATTTACTAGTATGTCAGGCAATACAATCTAATTGCTTGACAATATTTCATTTTCATGGATCCAGGTTTTCCTTTCCCGCTCTTAATTGTTTAGTCTCATTTTAGTAGAGAAATGCCTAATCACACTGGATACCTTGATATAAGCTATACTAAGCGATAATTATAGATTATTGTTGGTTATCTCAACGAGATTGATTTTCTCGCTTGAGCCGGTACGGCGAAAGTGAGAAAAGCAATCGAGTTGAGATGACTAATGATTATCTGGTTATCGCTATTTTACCTATGAAGACGTTGTTAATTTCCTTGAAAACTGCACGTGTTCCCTCAGTTTCTAGCGATAATTGTCATATCACTCGACTCCGTTTTCATATCACTCGACTCCGCTGAGAAAGGAAATTATCAGTCAGCAAGATCAAAGAAAAAATTCGTAAAATAGCGATAAGTTATTATTATTATATGATCGCATTAACACTGTCAATGCATGAAACCTGCTTGAAATTGCAGCCGCTGCGTGAAAATACTATGCTTCTTTGTATCTTTAGGAGTAGAACATTATCTTCGCATTATAATTTTCGAAACAAATTTAAAGACACTATAAACAAACAAAACATCATGAGTAAAACGCATTTAAATACACAACAAAACTAAAAAATAACATGCTCTAAGGAGAAGGTATGAGACAAGGTTTTTGTACTTAAATTCAAAAATCAAAATTTTTTATATATCTTTATATCATAGACATCCTTCAGATTTTCACAAGACTTTAGATTGCAAGATATTTTTATCTATATATATTTTATAAAAAAAAAATTCAAAATAGTTTTTTTAGGACTTCAGCCTTTTAGCTGTACATTAAAAATCTGAAAAGGCCACATTTTGTATCAATGGTGAGTTTATTTGACAGCTTGTCATTGGGTTTAAGATATGATTTATATACTAACCAAAAAAGATATTTCTTTAAACGTGTTTAAACAAAGATGTTAATATGAGATTAATATATTCATATGTAAGTAAATTGGTTACTATTCAATTTTGTCAAATCGCTATGTGTAAAATGGCCATTTCAGTTCAAACATATCATTTCCAGCATAATTTTTTGACGTCACTGTGACATCATTTCTGACTTTTATGTACCTATAGCTAGTTTTCCGGATTATATCATTAAATTTAACGATAAAAATTAATTTTAAATTTACTTGAAATTTTCAAACAATTGTTGAAATTATAAGTTTTCAATATTCTGCAAATCCGTGCGCCAAATAAATAGGGTTTTTGCAGAAATACTGGTAAATAATGTTGCGAGTATACTTTTGTATTGCACGAACTTGCGAAGTATAAAATTCACCAACAGTCAAGCAACAACTCTTTTTTAGTATAGCAAAGCTTGAAAAATTGTTTTATTTCTGATACTGATGACGTCACAAATTTTAGGTTTTATTTGCACTAGTCCAATATGATATATTATTACACATGTATGTTGTAATACAATAAAAGTTACTTGTACTCAATATTGTTATTTAAGTTCTCCTTCTCACCAAAAAATAATGATCAGAAATCTCCTTTATCTTATGAACTCTTTTACCAAGCCCTTAGGTATTGTTATTTTGATAATTCCTTATGTATTTGTCTACTGACAGTCATTGGAGTACGGTGTTTTCGTTCTTAATCTTCTTTATTTTGTCAATTAACAAAATTATATGATAAAGTTAGAAAACATAGCTTGAAGAAAAATCACAATTATATTTGGTATCTGAAATTAACAAGCGTAATCATTCCTTAATATACAAAATATTTTCTATGTGCGGAGGCAAGAACTTTTTTTCCGGAGAAGAAGATATGTCTTGGTTTCGTTCAATAGGTTTAACGTATGTCTGAAGCACAATAATGAACACGAATTAAGAAGATCATGATTCTGTATTTTTGTTATTCCGGATATAAAAACGACAAGTATGTTCTGAGAAAATGCCAATCCTAATAAAGTTCATGTAAATACAAGATCCAAGATATAGAATTTATTTTATTAATATTATCGATCGACTCAGTAATTAGCAGAGTCTAAGTGATTAATGAAGGAAATATTTCGCATTTGTCGAAATGCATCTGGTTTGGTTTGGTTTTTCGCATTGGAAAAATAAAACTATTTTTTATGTTGATAAAATGTTATAACCCATGATTTCCCACACTCAATATATTTATATATTTCAGTCTTCTCTTACATTTATGATGATTTAGATTAAGGCACAATTCAAGTTCGGTAGATTGTGTTTTCGAGAGATAAAAAAATAATGTATACATATATTATGCTTATGTGTGATTTTTATATATATTTTATCGATAAATTGATAAACAGCGAGAACTTCTCCTAAAATACCTTCGTCAGTTTGATACAGCTACGAATTCAAATTCGTTTGATATTGAATATGAAATTATACCAAGAATATTAAATTTCTACAATTCTAGTAACCCTAATTGTGAATTTTGAAAAATTAAATGTAAGGCCTTTATTAATAAAACAAAATAATTGCTATAAGTGTCTCACTATTAGTATTGAACAGTTTATTTATCATAAAAGGACTGCATCGGTGGTCTCGTGGAAGCGTGTTCACCTGGAGTGTCGGAAGTCGTGGATTAAAACGTTTTATAAGAGGATTATTCTCTGCTGAGTTAGTAATACTCTCGTGGTCAAAACGTTCACCAGCAGTCGTTGCAAAAAGTCTTCAAAGATACTTAAAACCGGACAACAAATATCGAACTATATTAAGACATTTAATCATTTATATTGGTAGGATACCAAGAATATGACGAAACAATTAATAAAACTATAGTATACCGTACTTGTAGCCTTGCAGCTACGTATATCAAATACCTACTGAAAATGTAGTTTGCTGTTTATGAAATCATACCCTCTACACTGAAACATCAATCGCACTGCTTGAAAACAAATCTGTATTAATTTAACAAAGTCGTTTAGAGATACATTAATATTATGTAT